ATATATATATATATATATATAATCATTACCACAAATAATTACCATAATCATGCTATATTAATGGGAAATGAAAGTAGATAACCAAAAAGTTACATCTCCTACCTCAAATTAGAGCTTGAACACCAATTTTTTTTTTCTTCTTCTCTCTCTCTCCCCCTTAGAAAAAGGTTGCTTTCTAAGAAAGAATTTTCTGCCTCAGGTCGACGTTAACAATCATGCTTCCTAGCCTCGAAATTGTAAACAACAACATTTTTAATTAAGTGAAGTAAATATTTTTTATGTATATTTATTTACAAAATTTGGAAGTTTAAATCATTAGAAATATTTTAATGGGAATCTGCCATCATTGGCAAATCAATATCCATCAGAATCAAATTAAACAGATGCCACAAGTACAATTGGTGGGTGATCAATCACAAATTATAGAAGTACCAAGCAAGTTCTTAACTCAAGGTCAATGGTTTAAAAAAGGATCAATGATTAAGAACTTGTAAACAGACCAATATACATGCCTGCTTCCTTGAAAAAGAAACTGCTACACATGAAACTAACAAGTTTTGAATTGTGAATTTCCGACTCAATGTTACATCTACCAATTTTTTTTTTTTTTTTTATCTCAAATCAATGTGAACTATAAGATTAGTAGGTCTCACAAACTTTCACTAATTATCTAATGACTCTCAATCTACCATATCATTAGGCACATATTGTCGAACCCTCGTGAGGGGATTTATAAATCTCATCCGCCCTTCTTTCACTCACCATTTAAGAAATTGTAAGTTATCTAAAATCGAAGAATTATGAAAAGTTATTAGAGATTAAACTAGCTTTTTTTTTTAAACAAAAAATAAACTAGTAGTGATTAGTTAATAAAAGGGTGAAAGAATAGTTACAACTTACATGAGTAAAAAGTTGAGGATTGATTGGATGAATAAAATTAAATAAATTAAAATTTTTGAAAATGCAGAAAGTAAGAGGGAAGACGTCTCAAGCTTTTCTTATCTTAATTTGATTGTTATAACAATATAAATAGATATTATGTTTTATTTATTTAAAATTATTATTTTGGTTTTTATGTATAAATTAAAAAGTTGTTCAACTTTTTGTAACATAAGCCAATTAGATTCGATAAAAACAAGAAAAAAAAGAAAAAAAATATTCAAACTAAATCCATCGAATTTTGGTAAGAAAATAAAAATTTTGGTGAGTAAATCCATAGATTACTAAATAATAAACATCATAATAAAAGATTTATCGATCACAATCACTGTTAAATTGAATCCCGTTCTCTGTTAAAAAATAAAAACAATCATTCTTAATCAACGGTCGACACTTGTCTAGGAGTACGCGTTTCTTTACAACGGTCCAATTTTTTTTTGGTAGGAGTACAACAACGGTCCTATTTTTTTTTTTAAATTACTAAATTAGCCTGCCTCACAGAGTCACTGGCAATTACTTAACGCCGTGAGAGCGCTAGCCAGGAATTTTGGCGCGAATGTGACGTGGCAAATAGACACATCAGCATACACCTCATCCTTCCCGCCAAACACCCCCATTATACCTACGAGCGGGATTCCTCTCTCTCTCTCCCTCTAAGCCCTGAGCCTCTCTCTCTCTCTCTCTCACTCACACACACTCAGAACAATGGAGTCATCTGAATCGTNTCTCTCTCTCTCTCTCTCTCTCTCTCACTCACACACACTCAGAGCAATGGAGTCATCTGAATCATCACCGTTTGATCCCNTGCTTTTCCAAGGTCAATGACTGGATTAGTCTTGCATAGAGGAACAGTAAGCTTACCCGGTCTTGTTTCCGGTGGGAATATGTAACTCTCAGGCACAGATTGAACATCTAAACAGCTTGAAACTTGACTTGCCATTGTGTATATGTGTATTCTCTGATCAAAATACTGGTTCTAATGGTATGATGAACATGTTCATCCAAAATGACCCTATAAAATTGATCAAATGGTCAGTCAACCAGTCAACATTATTTTATCATCTGAAGAAACTACCTTCCCATTGTAGGGTTGCCAAACTTTGTATATAATATGATACCACTGGCCTAGTAACTCACATCACATGGTTTCTTGTATAGTTTGGTCTCATAAAATAATGTTGTTAAGATAATACTAAAAACAAACTTAATCATAGCTAGAAAAGACAATATATGAAAGTATTCTCATCGCAAGCAATAGAATAATGGGTGGTGACGACCATACTTATAGTATTTTAATTTTGGCATACGAATTTCAAACACCCGCAAAAGATATTGTGACTAAACTAGCTTATCTTTCAAACACAGCTGTATAGTAAGAAACAGCTAAGTAAGTATTTCTTATTAATAGCCATCATATCTGAACATAGGGTTATTTTTTGAGAATTAAGTTTTAAGGTCATGTTGAAAATGAAGGAGTTATAAATTAATGTTATTAGAACTGCTTGGAACATAACCTAAGGTTGGAACCAATTGAGTTGTAACTTTCAAGCACAGCTCACCTTACCACCAAGTCTCACTTACTAGGTTGGCAGAAGCCTTAAAAAAATGATGACGGCGATGATTAAATTGCTTTGTTTATGTTAAATATTAGCAATATGGAGAATCGATCATCCCTGACAGCCAAGAACAAAATGAAAATTGTGCCTGCAAGTTTTTTTTTTTTTATAACTAATTTGCATTATGCCTGTCAGTGTATGTTATTCCATACAGAGACACTAATGGTGTTGCCAGCTTGTCCCCTTTCATTCCAAAACAAACGAACCATTGATCAATGTATGGAAATTCTTCTCGAAAATTCTGTTTCTTCGCTGCCTCAATTGTTGTAACAACAAAGCAATTAACTATCATCAAGGTAACATGTATTTGGTTTGAGCAATTTCTAAGACCAAAGATCTCCGGTAAACATTAAAAAGTTGAGTGGTTCTTTTACAACTGCTATATTAGTCAACAGCCTTTTTTTACCATCGATCGTGCCAAAAAAGAATATTATTCGGGAGGGAGACATTTTTAGTATAAACCAACTTGTATGAAAAACATTTGACTTCAATATCAATTTCATGCCTTATAGCTTCTAGCAGAATGCTTGACATTGATATGTCACCATTGATGGTGGTATATTCCTTGTATACTCCAGCATTTAGTCAACCTTATATGGCTTCAATGCAGTTTCATTGTCACACTGCCCTGCCATGTAAATTTTGAGAAACTCTTCATATTTAAAGGCTCCTTAAAGAGGGGGATTGCATTCATTCACCAGAGCTTTTGCAGGTTCTATCATGCTGTCCTTAGAAGGATTGATGAAAGTGACAATCGTTGAATAATGGCGGTGACAGTTATACTTATGATATTTTAATTTTGGTATATGAATAATCTCAAAGCCTGCAAAATCAATTGAAAAGATATCATGACTAAAAAAGCTTCTCTTTGAGAGAAATCCATCATTTGAACATAAGATCATGGGTGAGAATCGACTGTAGGGCCATGAGGAAAATGTAGGTGATCAAGCTTAGTAGGTTACTAGAATTTGTTGGAACCGAACTTAAGGCTGACCACACACGATCTTGGTATACCAATGTTTGTTCTTCATGCATAGCTCACACGAAGAGGAGGAAAGAGCCTTTGGTGCCATGTTTTTGCAGCAGAAACACTGCTGCATCATTTTGTATGGAAATTCTAGTTAAAAACCTGTCGATGAAGCATTTTCCATGATTAAAAGGATTGATGGTATTTGTAAAAACAACATTATAATTAACAATGATGAAGTGAACATGAATTGGTACGAGGTATTTCTACTATCAAAGATTTCCAGTAATCATTTTGGGCACAAATTAATCAGTTTGTACGAACAATAGTTTACTTCCTCTCTATTTCTTGTCTCCAAGTTTTCATCAGAATGATCAATGCTAGAGATTGATCTAATCACAATTCAGACAAATAGTNACTTCAATATCAATTTCATGCCTTATAGCTTCTAGCAGAATGCTTGACATTGATATATCACCATTGATGGTGGTATATTCCTTGTATACTCCAGCATTTAGTCAACCTTATAAGGCTTCAATGCAGTTTCATTGTCACACTGCCCTGCCGTGTAAATTTTGAGAAACTCTTCATATTTAAAGGCTCCTTAAAGAGGGGGATTGCATTCATTCACCAGAGCTTTTGCAGGTTCTATCATGCTGTCCTTAGAAGGATTGATGAAAGTGACAATCGTTGAATAATGGTGGTGACAGTTATACTTATGATATTTTGATTTTGGTATATGAATAAACTCAAAGCCTGCAAAATCAATTGAAAATATATCATGACTAAAAAAGCTTCTCTTTGAGAGAAATCCATCATTTGAACATAAGATCATGGGTGAGAATCGAGTGTAGGGCCATGAGGAAAATGTAGGTGATCAAGCTTAGTAGGTTACTAGAATTTGTTGGAACCGAACTTAAGGCTGACCACACACGATCTTGGTATACCAATGTTTGTTCTTCATGCATAGCTCACACGAAGAGGAGGAAAGAGCCTTTGGTGCCATGTTTTTGCAGCAGAAACACTGCTGCATCATTTTGTATGGAAATTCTAGTTAAAAACCTGTCGATGAAGCATTTTCCATGATTAAAAGGATTGATGGTATTTGTAAAAGCAACATTATAATTAACAATGATGAAGTGAACATGAATTGGTATGAGGTATTTCTACTATCAAAGATTTCCAGTAATCATTTGGGCACAAATTAATCAGTTTGTACGAACAATAGTTTACTTCCTCTCTATTTCTTATCTCCAAGTTTTCATCACAATGATCAATGCTAGAGATTGATCTAATCACAATTCAGACAAATATTTAGTCAAGCTTATAAGGCTTCAATGCAGCTTCAGTATCACCTTTCACTGCTTTGTAGGTGTTGAGAAACTCTCCATATCGGAAGGCCCTATAAAGCGGGGGTTTGCATTCATTCACCAGAGCTTTTGCTGGTTCTATAATTCTGCTGAAAGAAGGATTGATGAAAGTGACTATTGTCGTTCGAGCATTCCTTGAGTTTGTCACTGCTCTATGTTCAGCACTTCTCAATTTCCCATTACTGATTACCTACACCAGGAGTTACAAAACTGATAAATTTATCTGAAACTTAAGCAGGCAGACATGGGATAGCACCATCTACAAATGACTTTTAAAAAACGTCAGTAATATAGCACAGATGATATAGACAATACCTGTAATTGGTAATCAATATTGTCCACAAATGCACTGGGAAGAGGCTCAACACCAATCCACTGACCATCCTTTAAAACTTGCAGTCNTAAAAAACGTCAGTAATATAGCACAGGTGATATAGACAATACCTGAAATTGGTAACCAATATTGTCCACAAATGCACTGGGAAGAGGCTCAACACCAATCCACTGACCGTCCTTAAAAACTTGCAGTCCATTCACTTCCCCTTGAAGGAGAATGGTTATAAGATTAGGATCAGAGTGTTTAGATAATCCCAACGTCAAACTCGGGTTGGGACAAGGAGGGTAGTGATTGACTAACAGAAGTTGTACATTGGTGAATTCATCTCCAAAATACCCTGGTTGAAGTCCTAATCCTTCGCAAATCAGGTCCAAAATCCTCAATGACAAGCTTCTAACTTCAACTGAATATGTCCCAACAACATCTCTTCATTGGACAAAGACAATGCAAACAGAATCCAGTACAAGATAATTTAGTTCTTCATATGTTTTATATGATTGACCTGTGTGTTCGTGAAAAGCATAGTAAGTGAAAAAAAGAGAGGAAATTAATCAATTTATTGCAGTGATTTACCGATATCTGGTAGGCTTTTCTGGCTACCGGTGGATGACTTCATCTAGAGGATGGGAAGGGTGTCTCAAATTGTCTCGCCAAAAGTGAATCTCTTCATTGTCATAGTTATAGCTACTTGTGTAGAGTGAGCAGCCTTTCCTAGGATCCTTAGAGTAATCATTTTGCCCTGTCCTCGACAGGCATGTCAAAGAATTCCTTGGACACATTAATTGTGTCATCCATTAAACTCTCCGAAACTCCATGGTTGTTCACCTGGATTAATTACAAAGCAATATTCAGTGTGTTATTTTTGTTAGAGAGCGCCTCACAAAAGGTCTGTCAGATCAGATTATATCAGTAGCAGAAGACCTGAAAGAATCCAAACTTCTGAGCAGCATTGAGAATTTGTTGAACTGTGTTGTTTCGATGATCATGACCCACCACTGACTTTCCAAGATCAATAATTGGAATGTTCTTGCTTACAGGAACAATAGCCTCCCCGGGTCTTGTTTCCGGTGGGAACACATAGTTTTCAGGCAAGGACTGATCTTTAAACCAGCTCGAGACAAGGGTCTCCATGATATCTAGCAGTGAATATTCTCCTAAGCAAAACACTTCGGGTGGTGGTCAGTCAAGCAAGATTCACAACTGATATTCCAGAGACAGAAATTTCTGTAACAGAAGTGATTTCTGCAAAATTGTTGAAAATATTAAAAAATTTCTTAGACTTGATGTGCATGTCTTTTTTCATCCCCTAAAGTTTCATAGCAGAATTCTAAATCCATGAACAGATTTTTGCAGTCAGTCTTCAATCATAACCATTATGCATTATACATACACCTATTCATAGACATATATATATATATATATATAATCATTACCACAAATAATTACCATAATCATGCTATATTAATGGGAAATGAAAGTAGATAACCAAAAAGTTACATCTCCTACCTCAAATTAGAGCTTGAACACCAATTTTTTTTTTCTTCTTCTCTCTCTCTCCCCCTTAGAAAAAGGTTGCTTTCTAAGAAAGAATTTTCTGCCTCAGGTCGNTTACCATAGTCATGCTATATTAATGGGAAATGAAAGTAGATAACCAAAAAGTTACATCTCCTACCTCAAATTAGAGCTTGAACACCAATTTTTTTCTTCTTCTTCTCTCTCTCTCCCCCTTAGAAAAAGGTTGCTTTCTAAGAAAGAATTTTCTGCCTCAGGTTGACGTTAACAATCATGCTTCCTAGCCTCGAAATTGTAAACAACAACATTTTTAATTAAGTGAAGTAAATATTTTTTATGTATATTTATTTACAAAATTTGGAAGTTTAAATCATTAGAAATATTTTAATGGGAATCTGCCATCATTGGCAAATCAATATCCATCAGAATCAAATTAAACAGATGCCACAAGTACAATTGGTGGGTGATCAATCACAAATTATAGTAGTACCAAGCAAGTTCTTAACTCAAGGTCAATGGTTTAAAAAAGGATCAATGATTAAGAACTTGTAAACAGACCAATATACATGCCTGCTTCCTTGAAAAAGAAACTGCTACACATGAAACTAACAAGTTTTGAATTGTGAATTTCCGACTCAATGTTACATCTACCAATTTTTTTTTTTTTTTT